TTGATTTTCATTCTCCAGTTCAGTAACACGTGTCATAAGTTCATTGACCCTCTTATTCACATTCTCAAACGACAACGTAAATTCTTGTTGATGCTCCTCAAACTTCTCCTTGTTCTTCGTTAAATCACTCTCAACTGCATCTACTCTGCTGTTAATAGTTATATTTTCTGATACTAACTTCTCCATATTTTGATCAATGCGTGTTATTGTATTTATCATGAACTCCTTGAAGTCAGCTGCGCTGTCGTCACCTGCCATTACTGTATTGTCTTTATTCATGAAGTGTGTAATTTTACCTCGAGTTTCCAATGGCGTCGTCTTCGAAGATACAGCTTGGCTTTCTACCATTTTTTTCCTTTCTGCTCTCGTTCGACCATTTGGCATCTTTGTAATAAGTATCAATTCCACCTTCCTGACATGCCATCAGCTATTCTAAGACGGGTTGTACAACCAATATAGCAAATTTTATTCAACTTTCCACGGAGCCACGTGCATTGCGCTTATCTGTTCATGGCAGCGCCCTCAGCCAGCCATACTAGAGCCTCGTTATCACCAATGTTAGTTTACAAGTAATGTACGGTTATGTAATACCAAATTGCCAGTTTACAAGTAATATACGGTTATGTAGTACCACAATGTTAGTTTACAAGTAATGTACGGTTATGTAATACCAAATTGCCAGTTTACAAATAATTTACGGTTGTGTAGTACCCAATGCTAGTTTACAAGTAATATATGGTTATGTAATATCAAATTGCCAGTTTACAAGTAATATACGGTTCTGTAGTACTGCAATGATAGTTTACAAGTGATATACGGTTATGTAGTACCACAATGTTAGTTTACCAGTAATGTACGGTTATGTAGCACCACATTCTAGTTTACAAGTAATGTACAGTTATGTAGTACCACAATGCTAGTTTACAAATAATATATGGTTGTGTAATACCAAATTGCTAGTTTACAAGTAATATACGGTTCTGTAGTACTGCAATGATAGTTTACAAGTGATATACGGTTATGTAGTACCACAATGCTAGTTTACATGTAATATACAGTTATCTCGTACCACAAAGCTAGTTTATAAGTAATTTACGGTTATGTAGTACCCCAATGCTAGTTTACAAGTAATCTACGGTTATATAGTACCACAATGCTAGTTTACAAGTAATATACGGCTATGTAGTAATACAATGCTAGTTTACAAGTAATATACGGTTATGTCGTCCACAAGGCTAGTTTACAAGTAATCTACGGTTATATAGTACCACAATGCTAGTTTACAAGTAATATACGGCTATGTAGTAACACAATGCTAGTTTACAAGTAATATACGGTTATGCCGTACCACAAGGCTAATTTACAAGTATTATACGATTTTGTAGTACTGCTATGCTAGATTATAAGTAATATACGGTTATGTCGCACCACAATGCTAGTTAACATGTAATATACGGTTATGTCGTACCACAAGGCTAAATTACAAGTATTAT